TCCTTACGGTGAGAACACAAGTAGTATCCTGCGGACAAGTAGGACATTTTGGAACATCTGAACATACCACACAATCGGAATCAGGAGTAACTTGTAATAAGTAAATATTAACGGATTGATTAATTGAATTATTCAGCGCTGTTCTTATAATGTATTATAATCACAAATTTAAAGAATAAACTTACTATCTGCCCTTGCCAGCGGTACATCTATTATCATGATTGCTATATATATTATACCAATCAAGACCCATGGTTTTATTTTCGATAAAAGGAACAAATTTAACATGTTTTTATGTTGTATAAAATTTCTCATGAAGTAGACGGTAGAAGCTGAGAAAGGAAAATGAATGTAAAAAAGTTTTGTGAATTATACGCCTGTAAATTTAAGAAATACTAAAAAAATTAGACAAAGAAATCGTTTAAAAAATTGAATGTCAGAAGGTAATGTTTCATACCAATCGTTCTGAAGGGGCTTAAGAAGCCAGGTAAAGAAATGGTAGACGGGAAATACTAAACCACATCGACGAAGTTCGAATAGACAACAAAGGAAGGTCATAATATTATCAACAATTGTTTCACTACCTAATTAGTTCAGACCCAATCATTATGCCACTTTAATAATGTTATGCACCTATCAGCATTAGCGCATCATCTGTTGTAATACCTGATTCCTTACAAAGGAATAGACTTCTAGGCATTTCTATAAATAGCCTACAATTCAATAATTCAAAAATATTTCAAATTTTAGGTAGCTCAACAAACGTACAAAGGACAAATAGTGAAACTTGCTGAAACGTCACATGAATCACATGAAATACCTTCAACATCACTAATGGCAGATGTAACTTTACAAAATGCTCATATCAGCGAAGGTTTTTTGTTTACTTTTGAGGGATTATGATCTATTCTTGGGCAATATAATAATATTGACAGGTTGAAATTTTTATTAGACGAGGCTGCATTATACGATAGACAAATTAGACTATGGGGTTTAGAAGCTCAGCAACGGTTTGTGACAAGATGAATTTTAATTATCTATTTCAGTTACTGCAATTGAATTGAATTTAGTTGATCTTGTATCGATTGTATCCTCTAGAATGCGTGTTTCATCCATTCTAATCAGTGGGATGCGAGGTTTAAGTAATGAGATATGCAAGAATTTGGTTCTCGCAGGGATTGGCTCCATTACAATAATTGATCATAATTTAGTTATGGAAGAAGATCTCGGCGCACAATTTTTTGTGACCGAAGGAGACATAGGAAAGAATGTATGCAACCATTTTTAGCACAACTATTTAAAGTATGACAAGATTGTGACGCGAATCATCTATTGTTGCATGTAATGTACGATTTTTAAGAAGGCAACTGTTTCAGCGGATCGGATTCGCCAATTAAATCCTCGTGTCGTGGTAATAGCTGATAATAGCGACATACGTACAAAGCCTGATGATTTCTTCAAAGTCTTTGATTTAGTGTGTCTTACAGATTGTGATCCTGATACAATGGTAGCTACGAATTAAATAAATGCAAAAAATATTTCTGTTGCTTTGGTTAACGTTACTATTATTATTTTCTTTTGTGTAGATCCGAATTAACGAAATATGTAGAAATTTTGATAAAAAGTTTTATGCTGCTTGTGCTTACGGTTTCTATGGCTATATTTTTTGTGATCTTAAACAGCATGAATACATAGTGTATGCTTTCAAATTACTGGATAATTAGATATTTATCGTTTCAGTTGGAATTAATAGACTACTATTTTATCATACCATTTTAAAAACGTTAAAGAGAACGAAAGATAGCAATACCACATAAAGATGAGCACGAAATAACAAAGCTAAAAAAACATGATGAATATGTGAGCTTTCAACATGCTCTATCCAAAACCGACTGGACAGAAATTTCAGATAGAAAACTAAAAAAGATTTCACCTTTATTATGGGCTATTCAGGGTATGTTGTTCTTTACACTTGACGAGATCATTAAATTAAAATTTTATCATAATTTACGTCTGATGATTTACATAATGCAGTTTTATGGAAATTTCAACAAGAAATGGGTCGGCTACCTGTAACAAACGATAACTCGGATGTCGAGAAATTGTTATCCATGAGAAACTCTTATCTACAAACCATTCAAATTAACAATCTACTTGTAACTGATGAATTACTTACGTAAATAATCTTGTATAATTATGATACGAAAAAATGATGTGATCCTGTTCAATATAATCATATTTATTTTATTTAGAGCTCTTGCATCATTTGCGCTTACGGAATTAACACCCATATGTGCAATCTTGGGAGGCGTCTTATCTCAAGACATTCTGAACGTTCTGTCCAAGAAGGGTGTCCCTATTAACAACTTATTTGTTTTTGACGGATTTCAAGGTGATAAAAACTACTTGATAGTTGTCTTTTTTCGCTAAACCATTAAAAGCATTATTAATTTAATCAATTTAACCAAATTCAATCATAAAGGTAATGGATATATTTATCACGTTGAGCAAGGTAAACATGTTGCCTGATTGGATATGTTTTATGTAAAGTCATTACGACTTTGAAGTGATATGAAAGTGCAATAAAATCTCTTGATCGAGCAGTAAACATCACTTAAATGAAATACTGTATAAACCATTCATGATTTCATAATTAAATACTTTGACGAAAATATTGAAACTAGATCCAAAAAGAACAAATAAAGTTACTCTTCATTATCTCATTATGGTTCAAGTCACAAAGCCCACACAATAAAGTTTCAAATGTTTCTGACTCTGCAGTGTTTAAAATTCAATGTTCTCATGGTTCTCAACTTTTTTAAAAAAATCAAAATTTAAAAGTCTCTTATTTAAAAACATTTTATCTTTTTAAAATATTCTTAAAAGAGCATTTATAAAATTTTTATATTAATTTTATTACCTGTTAAAGTACCCCACCATTAATTTTTTCATAATAAATGGGTGTTTCTCGCGAGAGATATATCTCTTCTGCCAATAGCGAGCCACAATTCGGGAAATATTGAATAATTTTGACAGGGAGTAGGATCGGTTTTACTGTCACGTGATACTCGGAAAACAAACGTTGTTGAGCTAAAAGCGTCTTTTATATTTGGATTAGAGTTTTGGCTAAGGTTAGGAAGAAAAATAATATCGATATAGCAAAATTTCACAAGGAAAATTTTTTATTAGAACTCCCAAGGATGGTTTACGAATTTCTTACCTGATCCTGATCTTTGATTGGCTGATATGCGTCGGAAAATCATGTGACAGTAAAATCGATCCTACTCCCTGGCGT